TACAAGCTCAGGACTTTCTGTGTTTTTGCTGGGGCTCAAAGGTATGAGTCTATTTTTACTGTTGTATAGATATCTGTTATTTGCTACTTCTATAGTATAGAATTTAATATGGAGGGGGTGCAGAAGGCATCACCGCTCCTACTTGTTATAATTGTGGAAAACCTGGGCACATTCAAAGGGATTGCAAGAAATCCAAAAGCTCAGGACAAAAATGTTTACCGGGCATATATCCTCGGTGCAAAAGGGAAAAACATTGGAGTAGTGAGTGTAAATCAAAATATTATAAAAATGGCTCTCCTCTCACTAAAGAAGGAGAGGAAGAACCTAAAGAGCCAAAAAACTAGAACAGGGATGTTCTAATCACCTCGGGACGAGGGTATGCTTATGTGTTTCCACAGAATGCTGACTCCCCATTTGGATCCCAGATCGCCTCATCCGACCTGCTGTTGCAAAACAGAAGAAGGAAAAGACGGTGGCGGAAGCAGATGTGTCTGTCTGTCATTTCCCTTGCATCGTATCCTGACTATCCTATCCTTCACCTTGGTCCCCCGTGGGTGGTGGTCTCCGAGAGGGACGGTCCGCGGCACCTCTCAACTCAAGAACAAATGCAGAGGACCAGTCAGACACAGGACACAGTGGGCCCAGAGTCATAGCACAAACAGGAGGGTCCCACCTCAGCTCATACCACGGAGCTTCTCCCTGGACCTGGCTCCTGTGCTGACCTAGAAGCACAGTGACAAGGACCCTCTGCTTAGCCCTATAGTAGTAAGGCTCCGGAACCTTCTAGGTCAAGCCTACTCTTCCTTGTAAAACTCAGCCTTGGCAAGGAACTGCTGTCTCCCTAGCCGAAGCCTAGAAACCATCTTCAGGCTCTGATCCGGTGACTCAGTCTCTATCACTGCCTGAGAACTGTCCAATGACTGTCCTGTCTGCTGCCAGATAGTGTCAGACGGGTTGAGTCAGGAACCGTTTACACCAATGTTCCCTCTAAAAGTATAATCTTAATTAGTAAAAAAAATGCAGCAGTTGGTAGGAAAAAAAAAAAAACAGACAAACTTGTTGTTATAGTGAAATAGTGGGGAAAAAAACCAGAGACTCCTAAATAATAAACAAGAACACATGACTGGCTGTGTAACCCCAGTCAGCTTCCTAAAGCTCTTGGTCTTGGGTTTACTTCTTTGGCCTCGTTCACAAACTTACTCTATCTGAAATCTTACTTTTCTTCATATCATGAAGTTCTGCTTTAGATAAATCTGGTAAGCTATAATTTTTTTAGGTTGTTTTGGCAATTGATGCTCAGTGTGGATAATGACTCAAATTCTAGACGTATTTCTCATTAGAAATACGCTCACATCTATAATGTTTGAAGATTCTAATGGACAGGTTCATGAAGAAGCCAGTGTGGTTTAATATTTAAGTGCCATTTCTGTGCTGGTAACAAACCCAACCTTGGTGTTCTGTGCTCCAACGGCTCCGAACACGAAAGTCTGGGATATCCCATCTCTTGCTTCCTGAACTTCAGTGTCCTGTGCACCTTGTCTCCAGCTTTCGCATTTCAGCGTTAGAAGGCATGTCTTTAAAGAGGCCCCACTGTGTATACAAGGAATGCAATATGCTGAGCTCATAGCAGCAGGATGGTGGCTGCCAAGGGTGGCGGGAAAGGCAGGTGATAGTCAAAAGATACAACCCTCCAAGTGAGCAGAATTCCATGATATAAACGCTGAGAGACAGTGATGGGAGGAGAGAGACTTCAGCCAACAACTGAAACAATCAGAACTGAGACGACAGAAATGCTCTAAATTTGGATCATGGGGGTTAAACCTCCGTGCATTAGAAAAATAAAACAGACGCCTATGTGGATGGATCTTAAGGCATATAAAGTATACCTCATTAAAGTTGTTTTCTAAATAAAGCTTTCTGCTTCCAAAGGAGAAAGAAAAACAAACTAACATCATTTTTAAGCTTATTTTTGGCTATTTATTTTAAATTTGTGGATTTTCTCTGTTGGCAGATTGCACTTTGCTACTCGAGGTACTTACAGTTCAGAGCTGCAGAGGGACCATTATCTTCATAGCAGGTATTAAGCTAAATATTGAATAAGTATAGCACATCTACCACGCACCAGGAAGAAATGATGGGTCATTAAAACAGAAAGTAATAACATGAAACTTATTTAGACTTTTTTATCTAAGCAAACATTCCTGGGTCTTTTCTCCTGTAAATTATACTCTTGAGAAAATAGTTTCCATTTTTTTTTCACCTGCCAGCCTATTATAGGGCATATAAATGAGGAAAATGGATGAAGGTGCCCACAAGGAAAGGCTGCTCCTAACTGGGGTCATCTCTCCAGTCTCCCACCCAAAGAACATTATTAAGTTACGGATTAAATCCTGATCCTCTCCACGACAAAAGTGGTGGATTCTTTTCTGTGTGGCTGTCGGCTGTTAAGCATCTCTTGGTCCACATTGAAGAGGCAGGTTTCTCCTTAGGAGTTTAGTAAAAAGCCTGAGGACGGGCATGGCACAGACTGGCTTCCTTGTACCCATAAAAAGCCTCAGAGAAGACAAAACAGAAACCAGGCTAGCAAGATGCTCAGCAGTTACAGCACTTACCGAGCAAGCCTAATGGCCTGAGTTCAAGCTGCAACCCGTAGAAAAGGGGAAGGGAAAGGAAGGGCTTCACAGAGTTGTCCCCTAACCTCCACAAGAACACTGGCGTGTGCATGCATACATGCATGCAAACACTCTCTCTCTCTCTCTCTCTCTCTCTCTCTCTCTCTCTCTCTCTCTTTAAAAACCCATGCTTCAACATGCTTCAATTCAGGATACCTGTAACTTTTCTGAACTAGAAAGCAAACAAACAAAACAAAAGAACTGAGATGGGCTCTAAGCTACGGCTTCCCTCCCCCTCTCTTCTTGGAGAATACATGAGGATCCTGGAATAAGAGAGGAGGGACACGAACTAGGTCAGCGAGGTTTCCTTTAAGAGTCTAGTGATTGGTGAGGACTTGGGAGAAATAAGGCACTTTAAGGAAAGCAATGACCCAACTGTCAGGATCCTAAAGGGAACTTGGAAGGCAGGAGCCACCATGAGCAGTCTGTCACCTGAGAGTTCAGCACGGACATAGAAGCTAACATCCAAACCCTCTGCCTGGAATTTTTGTAGACAGTAGGTTTCCTGTGCACCTCACGTGGAAATCTGTCACAACTAACAACGAACTGGCCAGCAGGGGACTTCCCCAAATCCCAACCTGAACCGGAAGCCACAGAAAAGAAAATTGCTGGCTTGACCTCCTGGTCCTCACATACTTCTCCATTGTGGCAATGACAGGCCAAACACCTTCAGAACATCTCCGCTAGAGAGGGCAAGCGTGTACTCACAGATGCACAGGACTACAAGGAACAGGAGGTAAACGACCAGCTCCCGCAGCATGCTTTTCAGGTATTTCTCCCGGTTAGTGCTGCGCTCCTCCATGAGTCTTGTTCCCCAGAGACCTTTAAAACAAGGAAAAGCAAACACAACAAGGTCATCTTTCTTTAGACATTTCACAAGTGGCAAAAAAAGAAAATGAAATTAATAGTACGCCAGTTCTCACAGGGAAATACAGATACCTAAGACTATGTAGGCAGGCAAACTGCACGTGATTCGGAAGTGAATTTATTTAGTATACACCATGTCCCACCCTCCTCAAAAGTACACGATCCAAGGCAACTCAGTCATCTTTGTAGCCTCTAGGACCATTAGCAAATCTTGTTAAAAGTTTAGGAGGGTGGGAAACAAAGGCAATTTAAAAGACTTGGCAACTGTGTGCATCTGCTTGGTAAAGGATACATCTGGTACCCTCCCTGCTAGGCCTGGCTAAGTAGACGGTGTGGCTGCAGGATAAACCCCTCTGCGGTTGTGACAGTGCAAAATCCGAGTTGTTGATCATTTCCATCTGGAAACATCTACTGAGCTTCTAACATGGTGGCAGAGAGACTCTGTGCTCTCCTGTGTCCTATAAGAAACACAGTGACCACTGACCACGCTTGGCCCGTTGATGCTTAACAGGTGTTTTCAAAGCCAATTAATATGGTTTTAAATTAACAGCAACCATTCATGCGACTCCTGTCTTTCTTTTTGGGAAAAACTACGCTCAGCAACCATGTTGTGTATTTCCAGCAGATGGAAAGTGTCGGGTGGTGAAGGAAAGATGATGTAACCCTCGGAGAGATTGCTGGAGAGAATTACCGGTTTGGGATTCGGCCAGCAGGCAGCATGGTGGCTGTCCAAGGTCCCCTTAATGAACAGTGTGGTTGAGTCTCAATGCTGGTTCATTGGGAGAGCCTTAGTATCTTCCCCCAAACACTAACTTCTCAATCCTTCCAGTTAGGCTATTAACAGAATCAAACCTTGCTCTCCCATGTTACCTGTAGCTCAATCTAGACTCTTGACCTTTACCTGCCTCATTAACCCAAATTCAGACCACATGTTAGCCAGAAACAAGCCACGGGAGAAAGGGGAACAGCATGGAGGAAATGAGGTATCATTAAGGTTGATAAACTTTTTAGGCCTTATAACAACACAAGAGCTCTACTCCATTAAACTTATATATTCCGTTTCCTTTACTTCCTTTTCAAAAATGAGCATCCAAACTTCACGGACACCGCGTTACTCATCGCAGGCTTCGCACTCTGAAAGTTGGACACAGTTTATGACCGGGCCTGCCAAGAGCTGGCATTTGCTCATGCAGAAGAAATGCAGCAAGGGGAATGTTTACTCATTGCAACCCTATTATATTCAAGAGTTTTTACAAACTTAGACGACATGGAAAGTTACAAGACAGGCTAATGCCGCAGTCAAGGCTCAGGCTTGGCGGCCTCGGTACGCCCGTTCTTCTATCTTAGGGTAGAGTTCTGGAGGCCAGCTCCACAGTGTCCACGTGGTGACTGCTAGTCTCTTTAGCATCTTTATTGCTACGTGGTCAGTGATTTTATTCTTCCCAATGGTTTATAGACAGCCATGCGCTAAGGAATAGACATAAGTTCATGCAAACGGTATTCTCTGACCTTTACATAAAAACAGACAAAAACGATGTCAGGTTTTTCCTCAAGCCAAATTTGCAATGAATTATGGCAATTTAGTTCAAGCCCTTAAAAGGAAAAGAAATGTCTCCCCTTTCTTATCTCTATTACTGTCATGTATTTACTTTTTCTAAACCACCCTACCTATCTCCTAAATATTAAAATTGTTAATTCCCCCACCCCCACACTGGATATATAGAGAGGTCTATCTTAGGAGACAGGGCCCCTCAAATAGGGGCCTACATCTGTCCTACGTGTCCACCACCCATGAGGACACAGGCTACCCTGCTACCCTTGAGTGAAGGGGCTTAGCCACTCCCCTATTTTTCTGGCTAAACCGTGGCTCTGGCCCTTAGGAAGGTTCCAGTATGGGAGTATCTGGAGAGGCAGCCGACACAGCAGGGAAGAAGGACTGTTGGAGACTAGTTCCCTGGGGCACAGCCTGCCCATCAAATATATTAAAAATTATATTTATTAAATAAAAAACCATGTCCAGCAACTAAATAATAAATATGCAAAGTGTAACACAATGAAATAGAAACCAGTCATCTAAGGAACATAGTTCGGATGCACGCTGCTGTAGGGAAGAGCTTGAAAACAGGCGACACAAAACAAGCCACACAGCAGGGCTCATTCTGAGTCCACGTGCAGTGGACTTGGACATGATCACGACAAGTCTGGGAGGAAATACTAAACAGAAGCACGCTGTTAGAAATATATCTAATACCCGGCCAGCTGCGGCCAGAAAGGTGAATGTGATGCTGCACGTACTTTGGCACAGCTTAAAAAAGGAAAGTTCTTCTACTTCAGATAAACTAGGGATCTGGATATACGGAGTAGTTGATATGGCTAATCCTAAATGTCTCGATGAGTCAACATTTAAAAACCAGGGAAATATGAAAAAATGACTGGCTAAAGTTAGGTATGAAAGCTGCAGGTACTTGTCATAGCAAGAACAGCTATGGGCGCCAATGCTCGTAATTAAATTCTGGTGCCAATATTTAAAAGTTGCGACCTTGGGGAAGTCATTTAAGCTATAAAAACCTTGGTTTCCTCATCAGGAAGATGGTATGAGGCTAGAGTCTACCCTAAGGACAAAACAATGAGGAAAACCCTGGGGTTGTAAAAGCTCCCAATATCTCCAAATATCCCTTATGGGACAAAAGGTCCCCTGTGCGCTCTTGAACCACTAGGCTGGTGATGAAGCACAAGTGGACTCTGGAGACTCGAACAGCGACTGGGTCAGTCGCTGCACACAGTGATCACGAGTGGCAGCTAAGAATGGAGAGTCATACTGGTTATCACTTTGGGGTGGTACTGTTTGGTATGGCCACCTTCAGACTTTTGCAAACCTCAATAACCTTCCCGATAATTGAATTCGCCCCTCTGTAGACATCAGAAAGAAAGGTGGAAGAAACGCAAGTTATATGTGCAACAAAAGAGTGGCAGCCACTAATCAAACGGTACACGTCAGTGACAAGCTTTGTTTCTTTCAGGGAAAATAAAAGCAATCCTCGTGTTCATTTGTGCCCTAGCAATATGTGACAGGAGGTGCTAGCTGTGGACAGAAATCCGTGTCTTCCCTGCTGGATATGTGGCTCTATTATATTCTTCAGCCCTCCTGACAGTATTGTTAGTTACGTAAATTGAGAATTTGCCGGTGCAGCAGGAGTCAAAGCAAGGGTTGTTTCCAAGGTGGTATGGGGCACTGCCATCGAATCATTCAGCTGTCCTTTGCTTCCTCTGGTTCAGGCTTCCAGCACCTCTTCACTGGCCTCCTGCCACACCTGCCTGGCTGATGTCTCCCTGCCTCAACCTACCTCTGGGAACCATCCAGGATCCAAGCTGCCAAGTCCGGTTCATCTAGCACGTTCTGCTGCAGCTGCGAAGCCTTCAACTACCTCCTAGTATCTAGAGATACAGTTTAATTGCCCAGGTAGATGCTATGTACCTCAGAACAAGACTTTGAACAGTCCTGCAACCTCAACTCCTCACTGCTAAGGAGAAAAGTCCACCCACTGTCCAAAGCACAGGGAGCACCGTTTGCTGTCCACCTACTATTCCTGGGGGCAGGAGAATGGAGACCGAGCCCAACAGATCCAGAGGGGTGACAAGGGAGAACCTGACGATCTAGAGTCACTAAACTCCTTTAATAATCCCCACTATCTGTGAATATAGCAAAAGTCACTTTCTGTCCCAATCCTTGGGGATTGTTTACATGTTATATATGCAGTTTTCATTACTGTTATCCCACAAGCCAGAAAGAAAAAAATCCACGTCTCACTCACTGTTAGTTATTGCACATTTCTGCGCTCTGATCTTTGGGAAAGAGTGATACGCTACTATAACTTATCTTCTTTTACAGCTGCTAGCAGTCCGCCATCCTAATACTCAATATTTAATACCTGTGGCTTACTTAATAAGCCACAAGAGGTCAACTACATTTCTTCCTAACAGAAATAAAATGCTCAAATTTTTCTATAATTAATAATTTCTCAAGTTTGTTCTCTTGTGAATTTCACCTTTGATAAAGGCACCATCCCATTATGTTATTATTATTGTTATTACCATCATTATTTTTAGAGTTTACTAGGTATTACTGAGGGAAGAGATGCAGAGGTACACAGGGCAAGACCCTGGAAAGGGTCTCACAGCTGCCAAGGCCTCTCCAGTGCTCTTCTCTCTTGGGACCTTGACAAAGTTCACACTGGTCAAGTATGCATAGCTCACTGTGAGTTTACTGAAATTCTTCCTTTAAAGAAATAGATATCTATATATGCCTCAATATAAAAGCATACTTTTATTTCATTGTCTCCCATTATTCAGTTCAAAGTTAAGTATATTACCAATCGCTCAAGTTGATTTTAAAACCATGTGACTTTCCATTATCTATTAACTTACAAGAAATGTGTACTTCACGTTGGTGAATACGTTTTAAAAGCACTTCTGACCTAATTTAAGATAGGAATCTGTTTCACAGGGTTCTAGACATTAAAATAAACTTTAGCGTTTCCCTTTTCTATCTATTGAAGTTACCCCACAGGGACGGTCTGCTTCTCACCATGCCCCACATCACATTAACTGCACACATATGTAAAAGCGGGGCCTAAGTGAACTTTTATTATGTGTAATATTCACGGAGTACAAGGCAGCAGGACGCGCTGCCCATTTTAGAGGTCTGCTCATTTAATTCTTGTCAACACTGGCCATTTCTTTTCCAAAAGAAAACTCAAACTCAAGGACTGGAGCAGTTAAATGCCAGGTTCAAGGTCAAACAGTAGGAGAACCAGGATTTAAATGTAGGCCTAACCTGTGTAAACCACGCTGCTTCAACGTCACTGAGAACTGCAGACAAAGAGGGCGGGGTGGTGGTGGTGGGGATGACGACAACAAGAAATACCAGGAGGGAACTCTTAAAAGCTGGAGAATTATTTTACTAGGTGGCTGAGAGTTATTGAAACTTTTCCTCGGATGCCTCTGGTGGCAAAACATTGAGAGCGCGGGGTTCAATGTGCTATCGGAAAGTCCGCCTCCTCTCCAGCCTTGGGGAGAGTTGTGCACAGCGAACGCTGACACATTAACCAGCTGGTATCTGGAGAAGCAATCATCTTGTTGCGACGGCAGAGAACATTATTTTGAAACATACTTTCAGTCCTTAAACCCACGCGGAGTGGGGGTAATATTTTCTTTGCAAGTGTTTAAGAAATATGTCTAGAGTTAGAAATGGTCAAAAATGTGTTTCTACAGACCGTACTGTATTACTGCCAGCAACAACTACCCTCTCGACCAATCGTGCCCATCTAAAGGGCATCACTCTCAAAACTTGGGTAGCACTGTTGGTTCCTTCCTAGACCGGCTGAGGGGACCTGCATCGCCGCCAAATGAAAATCTTGGGAGCTGGAATAAACTACCTCCTCGTTTTGTGACACACACAGTTCCAACTATCATCAGCTGCACTAGAATATTCTCTTTTTGTCCACTACAAGTCCCAGATACTCCCCGCAAAACAGCTTTCTCCTATTTTCCAAAGTGTGCTAGCTCCTAATGAGAGGGGGAGGCGCCCGACTAATTCGCACCAAGGGCGCAGTGGAATTCCAAGCTGGGTACCGGAAGCCTGGCAGAGTTTGCAGAGGTAGGGAAGGAACTGGGGTGGAGACGGGAAAGTGAAGGACGAGGGGTCGAGGCCTCTGGAAAGCAGTTCTCCAGCACTCACTGGACGGCGCGGTCCGGTTCTTACCTCGCAGCCCGCGCACCAGTCTCTGGGCCCAAGCCACTCGGGGCAGCTGCCCATCCAGCGGGAGATGGCGATGCAACGGGTCCCCGCCGCCTGCGGGACTGGGACACGGCGCGCCCTGGTCCTCTAGCCGGCGCCTCCTCCCGCTCGGGTGCACGGTGCCCCGGTAGCTCCCCAGGGCTCGGCCGCGGGCTCCCGTCGAGCTCACAGCCGAGGAGGAGGCCGACCTGCGACTGCCCGGACGCCACTCCACGTCCATCTCCACCACCATTCCTCCTTCCTCCCCTTCCACCTCGTCGTCGTCATCGTCCTCCTCGGCCTCGAAGCCCGGGTTATCGCGGCTCCACGCCTGCCGGGAGCACGACGAGAGCGGAGGGGATGGGGAAGCCGAGGCTCCGGCCGGAGGATCCCGCGCAGCCGCTTGCCGGATGCGCTCCATCTCGATCTCCAGGCCCCGCTGCTCCCGGAGGCCTCCTGGGACCGCCAGGCCGCCCCCCACAGCCGCGCCTCCCGCAGCCAGCCGGCCGGGTCCCGGAGCTCGCGGCGCGGGCGAGCGCTTCGCATCTCCGGGCGGCTGCGGCTGCACGCGGTTGGAGTTCACCATCGCGGTCACTGGCGCCCAGCGCGCCCCGGGGCGCCGCTGCCCTCGGCCGCAGGAGCCATATTCTTTTCTTCCCGGGGTCCGCCGCCTGCTCCCCGCCTCCGCCCGCCCCCTCGGCCCGCCTCCCGGGGCCGGGCCTTGCCCGGGATGGCTTCAAATGGGGTGTGTGTGTGTTTGGGGAGGGTCCTGGCCCCCAGCGCACGCCCCGCGCTCCCCCGGCCAGCGTTCCAAGTGGAGCCAGGGTCCAGAGCGGCGCCCACATTCCTATGGGGTGGTTCGCGAAAGGAGGGAGTGTTTGGCCGGCCAGCTCCTCTGGAAAAGGAGGCCTGGATTTGTGCGTGCCTGCATGACCTCGAGATAATGCTTAGGCCCTGTCCATCTCCTGCCTAGGTTTACCAAGGCGCAAAAAGGAGTGTAAAAACTGAGACCTTCGCGTGGGATAGAGTGAACTTGTGAAATCTTGCTTAAACTGAAGTCTCTAGGCGCGCAAAGAAATCTACCCTTCATTTAAAAACAGGAACAGATCACTAAGTATGCCTCTCCTTGCCCTTGCCCTCATCCTCCTGATTCTCCGGTCTCCTCTCTCCGGAAGTCATGGGGATTTGAAGGACTAGGTTTTGGGACTCTCTCGGATTGCTAACGCCTGCGCCATTATCTCATTTCCTACCCAGCACTAGGCTCTGAGGAACGGAATCCTGCCTCAGGCCTTACGTTTAGCTTTTCATTCCTCATTCCCCACCCTATGCTCAACTGACACATCCAACTTAATACTTTGCAGTTGGTTCATGTTAAGCCTGCTGCTCCAAGCTCGGATTTCTATGGTGTCCCCATCTCTTTTAAATTTCACATCCCTGGTTGGGACTTCTCATCTCTCCCTTCACTTCTAAGGTTTCTCTTAGAGACATTTCTCATCTGCCTCTACTTTAAGTCCCTCATGGATCTTCTTGTTACGTCTCCCCTCAAAGGTTTCTCTGATAAACCCTCTACTAGTTGTTTGTTTATTTTTTTGAGACAGGGTTTCTCTGTAGCTTTGGAACCTGTCCTGGAACTAGCTCCTGTAAACCAGGCCCCTCTCAAACTCACAGAGATCCGCCAGCCTCTGCCTTCGGAGTGCTGGGATTAAAGGCATGAGCCACTTTTCATTCCCACTGGTGGTGGTGTCATTCCACACTGGAGCAAACGATTTCAGGCAGTCCCACCTCTCTTCTGTCATTCCAACACTAACCCAGCCTCACCTTAGCTTCAGGGATAAGACTGGATTGGAAGCCTTCAGAAGTGATATGGCCCCTGTGTTTTCCCATGTCCCCGCTGTTTCCAGATTATAGGGTCAGCAAATGGGCATGATCTGATCCTAGATTTGTTTGCTAGACTTGTTATCACAACCTACCTCATTCTGTGTTCAGTAATACAAATGTGTTTTCTCAAAGTGGGTTGGTTGCCCTCTCCTGAGGGCTCCCTTGACTTGCTGGCTGCCCATTTTGCCTGTGTGTCCCCTTTATCCTTCCTTGGATGCTTTCTCCTCTTGCGCCTCTTCCTCCTCCTCATAGTGGTTACAGACAACCATAACTGTATGATTTAAATTTAGTTGTTATGAGAAAGACCCAGTGACCAAGTATAGCCATATCCTGAGATGCTAGAGCTTAGGCATTCAACATATGATTTGGGGCCAGGGTATACACACTTCAGTTATAATGGGCCCTACAATATTTTTCTAGAATGGTCTGCCTATTGTGCATCTATCTGTGCAGCATTATTTGTTGACCCTGTGTGGATTTCCTGTATGTAAAATTAAGAACTGGGTAAGTTAAGTAGAATGTAATAATGACCCTGGTCTCAAGAGAAGATGGATCTAACAAAGAAAGGTGCAGCAATCTCCCACTGGAGAGGTCGGGATGCCCGTCTTTCCAGGGCCCTTTAGAGAGGCAGTTTCTGAGCTGTCCCACCTGCAGGGTGCTAACAGAATAGCTGCTTAACAGGCATCTTCCCAAAGAAGCCAGGTATGAGGAGAAAGCGCAGACTCAACCAGAAAATAGGTTCAGTCAGTGCATTGATTATTTTTGGGGGTAGGGACTCAAGACGGGGTTCCTCTGTGTAACTTTGGAGCCTGTTCTGAAACTCGTTCTGCAGACCAAACTGGCCTTGAACTCACAGAGAACCTTCTGTCCCTGCCTCCCGAGTTCTTGAATTAAAGATGTGCACCTCCACCACCCGGCCAGTGCATTGATTTTTAAATATGATTCAAAAACCGTAGCCATGACGTAAGGTGCTTAGAAATAGAGACCTTGCATTTCTCACACCAGTCTTACCAACTCAGAAATTCTAGAAATTTTGCTCTGGAATTCAGAATCTCGTTGGAGGCTTCTGACACCCTAGTGTGAGAAGCAACGCTGTGTTTCAGATGAAAGAGTTTTCACACAATCCGTCTTATAGCCCCAGTGATGATATCACCCAGAAACCACTCCTAGAAGAAGGTGCTCTCCTTCTTTAGTGGGTCTTTGTTTACATCCCACTAATTCACTATCAGCACCCTAGGAGCAGATGGCTTCATGGTCTGGGGGAAGTTACTTTCCCTTGTGCCTGTGAACACGGAAATAGTGCTAAATCCTGTCTCTCGGGTTTGCAGGATTTTTTTCCCAACTAGAAGACAGT